CTGAGTCTAACAAGGCTGGTTAGACCCCCACAGAGCCTTGCTACCCTGGTGAGACCCCCTCAAAGCTCTGGTGAGACCCCCCTCTGTATGTGTGTTATAATTAATCGAAATCAGTCGATTAATCGATTTTAAAAAATGTGATTAATCAAACAGGAAAATTTTAATAATTACCAGCCCTAATATTTATAAAAAGTTGGAGCTGGAAAATTATCTGTACTTGTACCGAGTATGGTACTTAGTATCGGTGCATCCCTAATTAAAATGTTCAAATATATCCAATGTCAGCACAAAGATTTGGCAAATTAACTTGTATTCCAAGTACTGTACAATGGACAAGATACATCATGTAAATTTTTTTTTTCTTTCACTAATTGTCAGTAATGCCTTCTACAAATGAACTCTGGCTTGTATAAAGGCAATGTGTACAGCCAGGTTTTATAAAGCTTTTGGCAAGCTTTGGGCAGCACTCTTGGATCCTTTAATGCACCCTTTCAGCTACAATTTGCAGATGTTAAACACTAATCATAATAAGAGTCCTGACTGTCACTTTAACCACTTGAAGTCCGGGGTGTTAAACCCCCTTCCCATCCAGGCCATTTTTCAGTATTCAGCGCTGCGGTACTTTGACTGACATTTATTCCGTCATGCAGCACTGTACTGAAATGAATTTTATACCCTTTTTTGGGGACAGATAGAGGTGAAACTCGAAAAATTAGAATATCGTGCAAAAGTTCATTTATTTCACTAATGCAACGTAAAAGGTGAAACTAATATATGAGATAGACTCATTACATGCAAAGCAAGATAGTTCAAGCCGTGATTTGTCATAATTGTGATGATTATGGCTTAAGGCTCATGAAAACCCAGATCCACAATCTCAGAAAATTTTTGGCAGTATGTGCAAGTGCCAAGTCCTGCTGGAAAATGAAGTCAGCATCCCCATAGAGCTCGTCTGCGGAAGAAAGCATGAAGTGCTCCAAAATCTCCTGGTAGACGGCTAACATGCATTAGTGAAATAAATGAACTTTTGCACGATATTCTAATTTTTCGAGTTTCACCTGTAGAGCTTTCTTATGGTGTTATTTAATCACCACTGGGGGTTTTATTTTTTACTATATTAAGGAAAATTTACAGAAATTTTTTATAAAAAAAACTGTTTCCCCCTATATTAAATTCTAAAACATTTATTACCCAATTTTTTGGTAAAATATAAAAGACGGGGTCCCGTCGGGTAAAAAGACACCAAACGCGCACGAAACCATGAAAACTACATTATTAACCGCCGGTATGTGTTCGCTCACCTCCCGATCTACTGAGCCGACCTGTGACAGTCTCATTGTCTGTTCACATTCTTAAGTGTACCTGTACCCCTGTATGTTATGGTTTCTCAGGAAATCGTCCAAAAGCTTCTTGAATGACTCCACACTCTTTGCTGAAATCACTGCCTGCGGTTTGGTGCGAGGCAGTTTTATACAGATCCTACCACATACTGTTTGCATCCCAATCTCTACTACTGTAACAACTCTTTTACCTAAACACACCAAATGTTCATATCACACACAACTCTGGTAGTTGGGTTCTGTCTCTGGCCATTTAAAACGATCATAAAAGAATGAATGGAATGCATTAGCAAACTTATAAATAATCAAGTGTCTGTTTAAAAAAACATTTATTGATTTTAGACAAAACAGATTTTGTGGCCTAACTGCAAATAATGTTTTGAAATACAAGCCTGTTCGTCAGGATACACAGAAGGTTGTCAGCTAAAATCTTTTGTTGTCATTGAAGGTACAGAATTAGTCATGGCAGAAAGTAGCTCAGGAATGCATAGCAGTCTGGAATTTGGGCGGAGGGAAAATAGATGACAATACTCCTTAAACATATAATCTAGTGACTGACAAACATATGAATCTGATGAATCCCTTTCAGTGCTGAACACCTCATATCAACCACACGTGTATACCAAACCCTCAGTTTCAGTTTCCCAAGTCAGCTTTGCCAACAATACCTGCTGAGATATTATACATGTACCAAAAGCTGCTGTGGCCAGGAAACCAGTCAGATCCACAGGAGTAGCCATGTCTGTGGCTGAGAATCTTGCAGTGCCTCATGGGATTTGTAGTTCCAGCACCGCTGGAGTTTAGCTACCCCTGCGTTAGAACATAAATATAGGAGCTGTCATTGCTAACTTTATCAAGGTACCACTTATAAGACTGTCACCCTCAATGAGTAAGGAGCCCTAGTAAGTTGGAGCCCTGGATCAAACATGTATGGTGCAATCATTACATATAGTGAGTGTGTGTATTTATTGTTTGGGGGCACATCCAACATTTGCATTTTTGGTTTTAGTAAACGATTTTATTTTTTTTGCAGCAAAAAGGTTAAGCTCCAATGTGTATGGTAGCCATTGATGGTGCATGACACAGTGGTGATATAACCTTGATATATTTTCCTAATGGCTCACTGGGCGACTCTGTACCACATTTTTACTGTGGAAGTGGTTAACACGGATTTCCTCACCTAAGTGGAGAGTGTCATGCACAAGCTCTATTTCCTGCCAGTTAGCATTGAGGAAGCATCTCCCCCCCACTACTAATCCTGCATTGCAAAGAGCCACATGAAACTCAAAACTGTTTCTGCTGTCTGCAGTGACCATGGTCACCTTCGGGCAATGGGTTTCCTGAGGCCTTGCCTCGCACCCAGAGACTTACGTTGCCTAACAACCACATGCTCACAAGATGACTAATTTTCCATTTTGGCTTTGTTTGCCAAATAAATAATGACACTTTGTAATTATGTCGTGTTGTTGCTGTTCATCTAAAGGTTGTATTTACCTCATTTTAAGGCTTGCTAAGGACCAGATGATTTTTTTTATGTCCGGATACTTACAACCATAGAATTCAAAGAGGGTACACTTTCTTTTTCACATGACTGCATGTGCAAATAATACCACAGAATGTACTAATGCACCACTGACATCTTTCCTGCAGGTCCTTTCCATTTATATGGATTTCACCATACACAACTGACCAGTGGACAAGAATTTCAGAGATTTTTCGTTGCTGTCCTATGCCGTGATGACTTCATCAGTTATCCTTTTTCTTATTAACTTACCAGAGGGTAAAAACTGCAACCAAAAAGTATTTAGATACATTTTCAAAAGACATTTATTGCTCTTTACGTGTTAATCATCTTTGTTTTCAGAACCTCTCAGTTGTGGAGAGAATTATTTTTTACAGACAAACAACTCTGAAGACATTAAGCTTTGAAATCGACATCATCTGAAAAAGCCCTTAAGGCTGGGTTCACACCTAGGCGTATTGAATATGCGCGTTTGTCGCGCGTTTTTACCGCGGTAACAAACGCCCGTTTCCGAGGGCTACTTGGCCGTATCCCAATGGAAACGCGAGACCAAAACGCCCCAAAGAAGTACATGTACTTCTTTGGGTGTAGGCCGTTTTGTATCGCGTTCGGACGGGCGGAAATACGGCAAGGTGTGAACCAGACCCATTGAATACAATGGGATTTAGATGTTTGAGCGTTTTGTAGAGCGTTCGCCGAGCGTTGAACGCGCTACACAATGTTCAGGTGTGAACCAGGCCTAAGTGTTCTCAGGTCTTGGATATGGCAGATATTTGGTTTTTAGTGCATTTTTATTGCAGTTTTGTATACCAGTACTTAAAAAAAGGGTGCAAAAGTGTATATCTATTTAAAGTAAAATATTGTGAGAAAAAGGATGTAGGTATAGCACCTGTTCACTTTTGTCAGTGGTTTAAAAATTCTGAAACTGGTAGATGAATTAAAGTAAACCTATCAAGAGAAATTGAGGTTACCATTTCTGACCTAAAATGTAAGCTATCTGGCTACCATGTTAGTGCTTTAGCTTCAATACTTAAAGTTCGCCTGTGCCCGGACCATGGCCATTAAATTATTTATGTATTAACTAGAAAGAAAAAAAAAAAAGCCCTTACCTACCTCTCCAGTTGCTCCTAATGTAAACTAAATCATTCTCAGAGACCAAGGACAAAGCCAGTATCTCTCATAGAAAAAATGCTGCAATTTCAGTTCTTCTGTTACGAACGTTAAATTTCTCCACAATGCCTATAGCTAAAGGGGTGAATCAGGCTTGTTTTGAAGTAATTTTACTGTTTGTTACATAGTCAGGTTGAAAAAAGAAACAAGTCCATCGAGTTCAACCTATCGACATTTGAAGAAAAAAAACAAAAACCACTTCCCGAAATGCAGATGGTGACTTTATTTTTGGCCCACAGTGTATTTCTCCCAAGGCAAGCTGACTTTAATATGTTTAAGACATTGGCACCTACACAACCTGTAGGCATTTTTCTGGGGTCACAGATATAACCAGTACACTTGGAGGTTCCCCATGGCTCCGCTCTTCCAAACAATTACATAGCTAGAACAAAAAAATCTCAGCACCTATAATGAAAACAGTAGCTCCCCCCAATGCTGTTCTATCCAAGGTAAACGGTTAACCAGCTTGATGTGGTTGAGAAGGTTGGCCACAGCCACAATGTTTCAAGATGTCAACGTGTATTAGAAAACTAAATGCAATTCATTTCGGGTTTAAATCTACTTGAAGATCTTTTGAAGGCTGCATGAGACTTGCCCCATCACAGCCCCTACCACCCCCATCGTGTGAATGACACAGGTAGTCATAATAGGGACCCCAAATTTTTTTTGGTTTTTTTCTTGAGTACTTTATGTAGTCACTTTACAAGCCAAAATTACTTTGAGACAAAAAGTTAAATTATTCTCTTATCTCCACACCCAACCGGACTTAAGACAAAATTAGAAAGTGTGACTTTTCAGTGCTTTTGCATATGCTATGGATCAAGTTGAAGTCCTGATTTTTAAATAGGATTCTTTTATGTTCGAGCTATTCTTTTTAAAAGGGTATACAAAGTAACTAATTTAAATTTGCATAACAAAAATTAGAAAACAAAAAACAGAAAGAAAAAAAAACACTAGCACACAATTTGTTTGTACCCATTAAGGTTTATTTCAATGTGTATTATCCCACATAAAGAAAAGCCTCAAAATATTTCTCTAAAAAGGATACCATCTCTGTGGTAACTATGTATTACTAAGCAAGCTTAAAACAGATAAAAAAAAGAAAACGAATTCTTTACAGGAATTCACATAACAAAATTATACATGACATTTGCTTTGCGGATGGGATGTTGAAGTTACACACAAACATCGGATTTAGGTTTAATAAGAGTTCAAAATGTATGCATATATTGGGTGGGTAGTGGAAATGTGTCAAGGTCCAGGTCTACGGTATCCCCTTAAGTTTATATTATTCACCAAAATTGACATAACATATGAATTAAAAAAAGAAAAAAAATCAATGAAGAGTGGAAAATATAAAATCAAGTATCTGTCAAGAGACTAATTTGTTTAAGTGGAAAAATGTCAGCAGTTCACAATATCCTATGTAAAGGGTTGTAGGAAAAAGTCCAATCTTAGAATCTGAAAATCTGGCTAATCCATTTGCATGCTGCCTTTCTCATCCTTTTCTGCTCCACTCTCGTCTTCCTCTATTTCTCCCTCCTCCCCGCTGAACTTGTCATGGGACCACTTAGGGCTGGTGCCGGGCTTTCGAAATAAGAATCTGCCCCTTCCTCGAGGGAAACTGGCACGGCCTCTCCCACGATTCACCCATTTGTCCTCGTTTTCCCCTTCCCGGTCATCATGCTGCAGAGAGATGAGAATGGATCAAGACGGAGTCGGGATACTGATTGTCACTGTAATGTATGGGCGTCTCCACACTATGCACTGGCGTTTTGTTTACCACCGCACCTGAAAATGAACATGCTGCTATAACACGCAAAATGGGAACATTGCCTTTTATCCTAAATTGTTTAACACGTGCAAAGTTAACTTTCAAAGAAAAATGCAAGTTATTTAAATTGTAAAACTCTGTAACCAGTTGTCTTTATGACAGACAGTTTATGAGAACTGAATGTGAATAAAAAGACAAAATGCACAAGCCACTGAAAAACAAAAAAAACTAAAAATGATTTTTTTCCCTCTAGTGTCTAATGTGGCAGTTTAGGAAAAGACGTTAAATATAAGACCATCTTCCAGGCAGTCATAGTCAAAGAACAAGTGCAAGGGAGACAAACCAAATGGAAATTGCTCCTGTCACACAGCTGTCTGCCCTCCAGCCACAGATGCTGGGAAAGGGGTCTTGGTTGCAATTATCATCCAGCCTTCTAAAATGCACAGCAATTAAACAACCAGAACAGAATCACACTTACCAGATAATACTTTTTGCTTTTGGGTGTGTACTCGGGATCCCAGTCCTCTTCACGGTTGCTCCGTTTCTGGAAATCATTGTTGTTGTTATTGTTATTTCCTCCTGGGAATGCACCTCGGCCCCAAGGTCTTGTTCCTCTGGACCTGTATTGCTGTGGGGACATATTTCAATGTTAAATTCACACAGAAAATGCAAAAGTGACTGTTAAATCAACTGAAAGAGCAACCACATTGCCTGTATACAGAAAGTATGCCATGAGATGTAAAATGCATCTAATCACTGTTTCATGATCATTACTGTATCCACACAGTCAATTGTTTCCAATAAGCAAATCGTGAATGTTTGTTCATCACTTCCCACCAACTAAAGCAGGACAATGTTTCCTAATGAAGCATGCAGAGCTGGGTAATCGCACAAATAAAAAAACCAGGAGTTCCCCCTAAACCCACTCCTCTTTTCTAGTGATATGGATCTCATTATATACATGGCTGAATAAGCACTGCAGGAGAGAGTACACAACCAGATTTCTGTATGTGCACAGTGCTCATATTTTGAAAGATCCTCATCCTGAATCGATTTTTCATGTACATTATCTGGAAAAGGGAAACTAGGAGCGTGGAACTTGCATTTCTGTAAACGTTCAACTGTGATTCATAAGAACCTCTTTTGCTACAAAAGTAACCTATAACATTTACACAAACTATCCTATTATTTATATGTGATTTTCTAAAACTACAGCAACACTGTTAAGTTGCCAATACTCCTGGCTTTTGTTCTTGTTCAGGCTGGCAGGGGTTGCTGGCCCTGCCTCATTCTGCTCCAATGTGAGCAGTATATGACCAGCTTTAGACCTTAAAAAAATATTTTCAGGTCTCACTTCAATCAGAAATCCCCCCCACCCCCAATAATAATGGTTTTGCTGCCTATTTTAAGATAGTGTGCAGGTCCATGCAAACATTGCATTATGTCCCTTTGTGGCAAACTGCACATCCAGAACTGCTGGTTTACAGTACAAATAGGTCCTTATATTATAGTGCTTCTTATTTTAAACTGCATACAGTTGTTTCAGAGTAGAGATTATGGACCAACACAATGGAACAACCAGTCACGTTAGGGTCAGGTGTAGGGCTGCAACAACTAAATTGATAATAATCGATAATGAGAATTGTTGGCAACGATTCGTTTAGTTGTCGATTAGCTGCCACCGCTCTGCTCCTCCGTTCTCCTCCACGCTGGCTGCAGTGGTGTGTGTCTTTCAATCCCCGCCTGAATCAACAGGCAGCAGGCAAACAGACCACTGCAGCCGGCACCAGCGGGGCGGAGAGACTGCGGTGACTCTGCAATCCCAGTTCCCTTCTCTGCTCCCCCGTGCTCCCTCTCCTGCCGGTGACCTATCAACCCATCGGACTCGAGTCCGAGGGATTGATAGAAGACCGGCATCAAGTCTCCCATCAGTGGCTGGAAACATTAGCCAGCCTGTTATTGGATATTTTAAATTGCAATAGCAGGCTGGCTATTGCACCCACCCACTGCCTACTGTCAATCAGCAGAGGACCACCTGAAGGAGAAGGAAAGTTCCCTTCTCTGCTGATTGACAGTGGGTGGGTGCAATAGCCAGCCTGCTATTGCAATTGCAATTTAAAATAAGCAACAGGCTGGCTATTGCTCCAAGCCACTGCCTGCTGTGTCGACATTTAGCTGCCTCAGCAGCTGAAACCAGTGAAGTGGAAAGGTGACCACTAGGGGTGTCACCTTAAAGATAACCTGTTACCTCCAATGTGCCACCATGTAGGGGATTTGATTGGATACAGCCCAATATAGCAGCAACGAAGTCCATGCCAAAAGTAGCGCTACGTAGCATGACAATATGTGCACTTTAGAGCAAAGTTGCCCAGCTCCAATCAGCGCTGAAAAAACACTTTTTATGTAGCTTAGTGTGAATGGGGTCTTACTGTTACGTTCGAGGCCTAGTTTGCACAGATAATCCATGGTCCCATCGCACTCCTGACCTCATAAATCCCTTCAGAAAATGAGTGCTGCGGTAGTCAACGGGTGGCAGCCGTAACAATCGTGAGCAGAAGCAGAGACACCGGCACTCTAGATTTGCAAAATACGTCTATTTATTGACGTGCATCATGGTAGCAAACAACGAACGTTTCGGGGTCGCAAAGGATCCCTTCATCAGGTAAAACATGAGTGCCGGTGTCTCTGCTTCTGCTAGTTTGCAGAGGCACGTGGATTTCGATCCTGATGGTATGGAGTGACACTGTTGATTTGATACGGACATTAATGAAGTGGGTCATATACAAGGAATACCATGCCCCAAGATGCACGGTATTAATTGTTGAAGAGTCCTCTTACCCTCTATGGCTATTTACTGTATTACACATTTCGGGATTTTTATACTGTACTTGTGGTCTGATGAACATTTGGATTATGCCCATATAACCAACTCCAATTTATGGTACCATGGTTTAGTGGTATACTGATGACTGGACTATAAGATTAGTGTTATCAATGGAATGGCTTACATTACCTACAAATACAGTTTTGATTCTCACCCTGCATCCACACTATACTTCATACAAGTGACAAACATCCACATGCCTACGGACTAGAATGTACAGCGGGATAAAGTAGATGTGTGATGTGTAATATATATA